AAGTCCTCCACATCACTAGTGGTTTGGGTTACCAGGGTGCACGCCTGTCCCCAAACCAGCCTATGCACATGGAAGGTTTGTGCATTTCACCATATGTAAATTTTTTATTAAAAGCTGCAGACAAATATCGAACTGTTGTGAATGAAATGCATGCTGAGTGTTTAGGGGATGGTGTTCCGATGAGTATGATTGCAGTGCAGCATGAAAAACGAGGAAACTTAGGGGGTGGATATGGAGGTGGACAGATATGCCCTAAAACGTGTGCTGTAAAATGGTCATTGTAGAAGCTAGGGGGTAGGCAGCCATTACAGGCGTCTTTCAACTTCGCTGTGTGTTTGAACATTTTCGTAATAAGACGTAGGGGGAAGCCATGCAGGAGCAAAGCAAAGAACGGCTGCCCCGCTTTCCTTTCAGATCCCCTGGGCATTACTAAGGAGCAGGGACCTGGGGCTCGGCGCTGCACTTCTGGTGGAGCAAGTCGCACCCAGGAACATTTCTGCAGTAACAACAGAGAGAAAGACAACTGGAAACAAAAGTCAGTTTCCTGTTCTGGCTTTGGGGGAAACAAAACAAAACAAACACCTGAGAAAGGGCCCGGAGAGAAGCACAAAGGAGCCCCAAAGCCCACAAGATTAGCCCACAAGATCAGCAGAGACAAGCGTGTGAAGAAAAGATAGTGCCTGAGCCAGTGGTGGGAGCTAATCTCTCCAGGAATTACAGCCTCATTAACTCGTTTTCAGCATTTCTCAGCAAGAGTCTGCAGATTCTGACCTCTGACCACTTGAATATTATTTCTCCTTATCGCTGAGAAGAAAGAAAACCCACACGGTCTCCCCCTATTCAGGGAGCCGTTGATAACCCACGGTTTACCGTCCCAGTGATGTAATGCGGCTGGGTGTTGGCATCTTGTCCTCACTGACCAGCAACTTCCCTTTTTACCCACCTCAGGCCAGTCCCTGGCCATGCTGAGGGCAGACACAGTACTTTCTACCCCACTCACACTCACAATGTTCCCTTTCCCCTCTTCCTCTTTATTTGCTTTTTAAATGGATTTTAGTGAAGGAGGGGGTCACCAGGAAGCACCCCTCCTTCTCCTGCCAGGGCTCCAGCATCCCAGGAAGGGGCCACTGTGGCCTCCTCCCAAGACAGGGCTGTTTTGGGGGCTCACCCATGGTGGTGGTGCCACGGGAAGGAAAGCAGAGGCTGCGGGGTCCTCAGGAGCCTCAAAGCCTTTTCAAAAGCAAATCTCCAGAGGGTATGTGTGTCTGTGTGTGTGTGTGTGTGTAGATCTGGGGAGGAATGACGTCAGGTGCGGGTCACAGGAGAAGCAGAAACCATACTTTGTACTCTCACTGCTTTGACAGTGCCCATCTCGGGCAAGTGTTCTCAGTCTAGGGGTTCCAGTATGTAATTTTGGGAACCCCCTTTTTCAAATATCCACCTCAAGCCTTTGGAAGTGTCTACAACCCCACAGTGCACAGAGCAGAAAGAGAAAGGAATTTGGGGTACAGAGAACCTAGGTTCCGCTCTTCATGCTTTTTTGTTGGTTTTTAGATCCTAGGTGGGGGTAACCTGTAGCGGTACCATGTCAGGAAACCATGGACCTAGGGGCGGGAATGCTGTGAGGGGTCAGAACTCCTGGGCTATGGTGAAGCCCACTGAAAGTTTGGGGGTTGGGAGGAGGGTGGTGGTGCAAAGGGCGGAAGACCGAAGGCACTTCCAGGTTCAGGAGCAGGTACCATCGGGGTGAGCACCGCTGCGGTGCCCAGGCCTGAGGCTGCGTGGCTGGGACCTGCCCCCTCCCAACAGGCCGAGAGCTGAGATGCAGGGGCAGCGGAGTCCCACGCATTGGCTCAGTAACAAACTGCCACACACAGCAGCTTCGAGCAACACCATTTTTTATCTCACAGTGTCTGTGGGTCGGGAGTCAGGACATGGCTTGGCTGGTCCTCGGCTCAGGGCCTCTCCCACCTGAAAACCAGGTGTCCACGGGGCTGCGTCCTCATCAGGCTCAGTGTCCTCTTCCAGGCTCACCTGCTATTGGCAGGATCCACCTCCTTGTAGTGACTGGCTGAGGTCTCGTTTTGTTGTTGGTTGTCGATGGGGTCACTCTCGGCTTCTAGGGGTCACCCTTAGGTCCTAGCCAGGCTACTGATCCCCCCACACCATGGACTCTTCAAGTCAGCAGGAGAATGGCTCTGCCCCAAATCTGTCAGTCTGCTGCGAAGGAGATTTACTTAACGTAACCAAATTTCCCATCACTTTGCCAATACGATGTAACCTGGCCCAGGGCATGGCTATCCCTCATACTCACAGGCCTTGCCTATGCTCTGGGTAGGGGATTACACAGGGTGGGAACACCTAGAATAGGAGTCTTGGTCCCCTCTTAGAATTCTTGAAATTTGGCCCAGCACTGGGAGTAGCAGGTTCAGAGCATCGGGCCTGCCTGAGAGGGGTAAGGGGCGGGCTGCCCACAGTCAGCATGAGGCCTTGGTGCCTCCCGGCTCCTAGGCTTCTGGGAAATGCCATTGAAATGAGAAGGACTTTGGAAGGGGAGGTGGGTTAAAGCCAGGGTGGGCCCAGGCAGGTTTATTCCCTGAGTTTCCTTTAGAATTATAAATATTTTAGGAATTAAAAAAAATGACCATATGTTATAAAAATATCGGAGGAGACTACTGCTTTTTCTCTGAATAATGTGGGTCCCAGTTTATCTCTGAGACACGTGCCATTATCAGCCAGAGAGGAACCAAGAAGCTGGACACACACAGTGTGCCCGCCAGCAAAGAAGCCACCCCCCTTTGGGGACTTCCTTAGGAAGACACTCCTCGTGTGGCTTCAGGGCCTGTGGCACGGACGGTCTGGTACCTCTCACTGGCAGGACGGACTCCTAGTTTGATTAAAATCCTTCAAGCTGAACTTTCTTCTTTTTGTAAAGAAGTGAAAGCGGAGAAAATAATTCACAGAATCACAGATAAAAGAGAGAAAGAGACAGAAAAAGACACAGAGGCAGAGAGAGACAGAGACTTGCAAACCATCCATTTCTTGTTCTAACGGCTAAGAAAGTCTTAGGTTTCTGGTTGGACACAAAGACCAAGATTCCAGGGGCCCGAACAACTGAGGAGGAGGGCGGGGGAGGCAGAAATGAAGGCTAGTGGTGAGGCCTTCAGGCAAACGCTCACCCCCCCCAACCCCGCCCACGACCCAGGACGAATGATGGTGCACCTGGCTCCTGTGAACTTGGCGCTTCTACTCCGGGCTGTCCAAGTCTTTCCCATCCACTTTTTGGTAGGGTTTCTTGGAGCAAAACTTTTCTGTGGAAGCTATTTGTTAAGTGCTTAAAATGTGCTAGACTCTGTGAGAACCCAATAAAGAGGACAAATGCAAATCTGTGAAAAACGACATGGCAGGACCAAATGCAAAGAAGACGAGAGAGGAGGCAATAATGACAGCGAGTGAAGACAAAACAGAAACAAAATATGAGCAATAAAATGGCAACTAATACACATCTATCAATACTGGAATTTCAAACAACAAAATAAATGAACAGGCAGAGCAGAAACAGACTCATACCGAGGACCATTTGGCGGGCGGCAGCGAGGAGGGGTCTGAGGGAAAGAGGGGATGGGATTCAGAAGCAGAAGTTGGCAGCTGCGGCACAGTCATGGGATGTAAAGTCCACCAGACGGAATATAGCCAGTAATACTTTAATAACTACGTGTGGTGTCGGATGGGCGCTACATTTATCAGGGTGATCACTTCCTAAGCTGTACGACATCTGGTCACTGGGATGGGGGTGTTTGTACACCTGGGACTAATGTAATACTGTATGTCATGTGTAATTAAAATATAAAAATGATGATAAATAAATAAAATTTGCCCTAGAAACAGAGTTGTGAAAAAAAACTAAAACTAAAAAAAAAAACTTGAGTTGAATAAGAAAGGCTTATAACAGTGAAAACACCATCACAGCGTTCAGGACAAGCAGTGACGGCCTCATCACTGGGCTGCGGAATCCGGGGCAGACTCGATTACAGAAATATTTGCGTGGGTTCCGTGAGAACCGCTCTTCCCCTTACCGCCACATTCCCCTCCCCGCAGGCTTTCTGGATAACTAGAGGTGGAGGGGGTTTTCAAGCACATTTCTAAGAAGAGTAGCCAGTTGGGGGTTCCACCCAAACTGGCTTCCCAAGAACAACAAGAAAGCCCAGAGAAGTAGCAATTTCTTTAAAGTAATATATATATATATATATTTTTTTACTTGATGGGGTATTTCGATTTCAGCAGGAGACACAGGAAGTCATGGATTGCTACCTTTCCTTTTATGATGACTTGTGTGTGTGTAGAATCAAATGGCTTAATTACCCCTGTTTAATGAAAGCTGATGGTGCTGTTGACCTAACCTGAGGGACCCAAGGACTCACCCAAAGAGCGCTGATCGAAACCCTACTTAGAGCAAGGCAGACCCGGACTTGTCTTCCTAGAATTTTAACTGATTGACAAGGAGAAAAGTAACAGGTAATTACAATAGAGTATGTTTTGGTTATTTATTGCTGTAAACCATCCTAAAAGTCAGTGTCTTAAAAAAAGCAAAAACAAAAACAAAAAACAATGACTTTTACTTCTCACAATTTTGTGGCAGACTGGCCCCAGCCCGGGGCTCCGCCTCCCAGTTCTGTAGCCAGGGGGCTGCAGTCGGCCGGGCGATGGCAGGGGCTGGGTGGTCCAGCACGCCACTCACCTCTCATCGGCCAGGAGCCCTACCCGGGCTTTTCGAGAGTTTGGTGGCTGGCTTTCAAGAGGGAGTGTTCCAGGAGGGCACGCCCCATTGTGCAAGTCCTGTCAACTATTTACTTGTGTCACTCTGACTCATGTCCCACAGTCCAAGCAAGTCACAAGACCAGACCCACAGGCAATGTGGGAGAGACCACATACGTGGATGAAAACCAGGAGGCGAGGTTCTCCTGGGGGTCACCGGCAAAACAACCATCCAAACAATATGATAAACACTACTGGTCAGGACTAACGGGACACCCAACCCCGACTCAGAGATGAAGGGTAACTTCCTGGAGGAACAAGCATTAACTGGAGACAGGTAGACATGTGTGAGACGCCTGTACTGTTTGTCTGTCGAGCAAACTTACGCAAATTGTGGAATTCCGTGTAAGGTTTATGGTAGGTACATTATGCATGTAAAGTTATTCATTTTTCTAATTTTCAAGAAGTAATGCATGAAGAGAAAGCCACAAACTCCCTTTTCCCATGGTCATAGCTACAAACAAGACTGACTACTTAGATTGCCACCGTTGCTTTCCCACTTGATCTGTCTAGTTTCCAGCAATATTGACCCTAACTTTTTAAAAAAGAATTTATGTATTTATTTTTAGAGAAGGAGGGAGGAAGGGAGAAAGAGAGGGAGAGAAACATCAATCGGTTGCCTCTCACACATGTCCCAGCCGGGAACCAAACCCGCAACCCAAGCGTGTCCCCTGACTGAGAATCGAACTGGCGACCTTTCACTTTGCAGGACAATGCACAACCGACTGAGCCACATCACTGAGGGCTTGACCCTGACTTTTGATTCTCCACGTGTCCTGCTCTTGTTTCCAATTTAGTATCGGTGGATTGCTTCAAACCGCTAATGTCCATGTGTTGGTGGTTAAGCTTTAATTCTTATAAGATTATAGTTTCTTGATTTCTTGACCAATTTTTTGGGGGGGATTCTGAAGAACACCTCCATCAGGAGACAGTTCTCCATGGTCTCTCACATTTCTGTACCTCTTGCCAGCACACGCACTGTCTTTTTGAGGACGCTTATTTAGCCATTAGCCTGGAAGAAGGAAATAGTATCTCCTTCCAGAGAAAACGGTAGTTTGTTTAAAGTGTAATACAGATGACTCCCTCCAAGGCCAAGGTCAGGGTCTCTTGCATCTCATTAGAAACAACTGGGGTTCCTGAAGCACAGGGTTGCTCAGCTGCAGTGCCCACACCCTGCATGTACAGCACACATCTGGACGTCTCCATCTGGACTTGGGGAGCAAGGGGAACTGGTGCACAAGCCTGAAGCTCATGCCACTTCCCATGCTGTAAAAGTCCTTTGTCTCTGACCCAGAAGTCTCATGTCATCTGCCAGAATCCCCTAAACCAGAGGTCCCCAACCTTTTTGGCATCAGGAACTGGTTTTGTGGAAGACAATTTTTCCATGGACTGGCGTGGAGAGGATGGTTTCAGGATGATTCAAGTGCATTACATTCAAGCTCACCTCCTGCTGTGTGGCCCAGTTCCTAACAGAGCCAGGTCAGTACTAGTCTACAGCCCAGAGGTTGGGGACCCCTGCTCTAAACCACAGCAGGCCAGCATATTAACTTGTATGGAGAGTAAAATCTCAGATCCTTCAAGATTCTGAAACTTGCACGGGGCTTACATTGCAGTGAGAAAAGAAAAAAAACACATAAACAACAAAAGTGATTCAAAATTGTGCAAGTGTCTAGAAATAGGTTCAGGTTAAGATAGAGGATGTGGGGCTCAGCCAGAGGTAGATACAGGATAGTGAGGGAAGAGCTCTTACATGCGGTTCCATTTAAACCAAGGAGTGGTGCCGTGGTAAGTGCCTAGAGGAGAGTTAGGCAGAACCAGCCACGTGAGAGGGAGGCGCAAGGACTCCAGGCAGAGGGGATGACACTTGCATTCTGAGGTCTGTGTGAGGAACAGGAAAAGGCCACCGTAGAAAGGCAGCAAATGTGAACTGCAGCCTGAGATAAGGTGGGAGAGTGAGCACAGCAAGATCATGCACAAATCCTTGTATATGTCGTGGACAGGAGTTTGGACTTTTCCCACAGCTTTTAAGCAGGAAGCGAGTTGACCTGGTTGACCTCCTAGAAGCTCACTGTCAGTGTGGTGCTCAGAATAGCCCGGGAGAGGAGTGGAGACGGGGACCTCCGAGGAAACCCTCCGGGAGCGCCTATAAGCAGCACGTAGCCGGGGCAGCGAACACCAAGGCCAAGGGTCTGCCGTCACTCACTGATAGGCCAGAAATGCTGTATTTCCTAGAAGTGAGCCTAACTTTTTGGAAGAAATTCAGGGATGTAGATAAATATCTATAAGGACATTATAAATTTACTATTTCCCCAATGACTTGGTTTAGTGGTGGTTTTATTTGATGTTTATCTTGGCAATGCTTCCAAATGTTTTTTTTCTGACCAGCCTTCCCTTCTTTGTCAGTAACTAGTGACTTATAACAAATTACCTAACTACACTAGAGAAGATAATATTAAAGGAACTAAAAAACAAAGAATTCTCTGCTTTGTTTTGTACACTTTCATATCAGGCCCCAAGGGTGAACGCACGTGTGCCTGTCGGGCTGAGACCAGCGTGGGGGCGGTGGACCTGTGTCAGGGGAGGTGCGGGTTGGTGGGTCACGTGGCCCCACACGGGCCCGGTGGACGGGGCTCAGGCTCTCGCGGCGGCACCGTCCAGAATGAGTGTTCTCCAGCCAGGGAAGAGACAGGTGGGTGAACCACCCAGTTTATAATCACCTCAGCTCAGAAATGGCACATACCACTTCCCCTTGTAGTCCATTGGCCAAAATTAGTGATCTGGCCTCAATTTCACAGCAAGGAAGGCTGGGAAAAGTAGACAGCATGTTGAGTGTTTGGGGAGCACTGCGTCAGCCACAGTATATCTATAAAACATGTAGCAGCAAAAAGAGAGAGAAAAATTACATGAAATGTATTTACAAAGTGCTTTTGCAGTGTCAGGCACTGTTACTTTTGTCCCCACATTTATTTTCTATCACTGCATAACAAATTACTATTGACTTTGTGGCTTAAAACAAGAGCCATTTATCAGCTCACAGTTCTATAGGTCAGAGACTGGTGGGCTCAACTGAGCCTCTGCTCAGGGCTCACAGCTGAAATCAAGGGGCCGTCAGGCTGGGCTCTTCCCCAGAACCTCTGGGAAGAGTCCCCCTTGGAGCTCACTCAGGGTGTCTGCAGAAGCCAGGTGCTTACAGCTGGAGGACAGTCCTCTCGCTTAGCTCCTTCATCTTCGAAGCCAACAACTGCACTTGGAATTCTTCCCATGCATCGAATCTCTCTGGCTCCTCCTTCTGCTCCCAGCCAGAGGAACCATTTAACAGAGGAGAAGTTAGGAGATGACCAGACCTTGGAAGGTCTCAGGAAGCTGGGCAGTGTCTGGCCCTCTGCATCCCAGGAGGAGCTGTTGGGAGACGGCCACTGGCTATGTAGCAGGTCTAGCCTGGGCTTTGTCCCCCCTCAGAAATGTCTGAGCTCCAGCATGCCACAGACGCAGCAAACATTGTGTATGTCCTTGAGTGCAGTAGAAGTGCCAGAGCCACCAGAACTCAGGGGGCTGCAAAGGGGAAGAAAGGATCTCACCATAGCCCCCTGTATGGGTCAAGGATGAAGGCTCAAAGAGATGCCATACATTCTAGGAGGTCTCTATGTGGGCAGACAGTCTGGGCCAGATGCTGCCAACCCACTAGGGAGGAGCAAGGTTCTCTTTTCCATTTGCAAAGGCTGCAGCCCCCCAGGGTGTGTCCAGGAGAATGTCTTCGACAGTAGCACCAGGCAGCACCTCACAGGGCCTCTCACTGGTTTCTCCTCGGAGACCCGCCTGGGACACTGGTGTCCAGTCAGCCCTACCACCCTGGGAGGGCTTCAGGAAAAACCCTGGGTGCCCTCAGGGAGGAGGGGGCGCCCACGTGGGTTTGGTGGGTCCCAGACCTGAGGCTGGTGAGGAAGCAACTCCTCCCTCAGGGTTTTAGTCATCTATTCAAGACCAGCAGAGTCCTTGGGAGAAGGAAGGGACACACCAAAGGATGGGAATGGCTCATCTCTGATCCTCCTTGTCCCTGCTCTGTGAGGGCCTCAGAATTCTTCCTCATTGGCCCACCTCCTCAACCCCACTATTGTTCAGGGTTTAGGGCGAAGAGGGCAAAGATGTCCTGCCCAATGCCGGAGTCTCTGGACCTCCTACCATGTGTCTCCACCACCTGTCACCTCAGCCCTGTGTCTCTGAGCCGCTTCCATGGTCCCAGGTGGCTCCGTCTTGGCATGCCGTTGCCAGCACACGTGCACACCCATCTCCGTGGGGGCGGCAGCGTCTGCAGCTTGTGCCATGTCGGTGTGAGAGTTCAGGAAACTGCGTGCCTGTTTGAGAGTACATTCTAGATTGTTGCCGCTTTATACCTGTCATGGACTGGCTTATGTTCCCTCAAAACGCACGTGATGAAGTCTTAACCCCCTGTGTCTAAAGACAGGACCATTAAGGAGGTCATTAAAGGTAAATGGGTCGTGAGGGTGAGATCCTGATTCAATGTGACTGAAGTCTCTATAAGAAGAAAAAGAGGCATCAGGGAGGTACCTTCACAAAGAAAAGGCCACGTGAAAACACAGTGAGAAGGTGGCCATCTGCAAGCCAAGAAGAGAGGCCACTGGAGAAACCACACCTGCCCTCGCCTTCATCTTGAACAACCAGCCTGCAGAAACTGCGAAAATACAATTCTGTTGTTTAAGACTCCCAGTCTGTGGTCTTTTGTTTTGGCAGCCTTAGCAAATTGATACAATATCCCTATGTTCTCATAATGGGATATTGAAACATAAGATGAGAGAGAGACATTCTGTGTTATAAAACATTCCAACAGAGAGAGGCTGGGTTGGGAGTGAAAAGCAGGAAGTAGAACAGGGGAAAATGCTGCTCAATTTTGTAGTGAGCCCGCAGGGTCTCTGACCTACAGGTGCCGTTCTGCTTCCTTTCCCTACTTATTTATCATCAAGAGCCTCCCTCGAGGCCCAGTGTTCTCGCACGGCCTCCGTTCGCTGAGAGAAGACGGCTGCAGCTAGGGGCATCTGTTCCTGCCGCAGCTGGAACTCCCCAGGCCTCGTCCAGGAAGGGTGGGCACCAAGTCTCACCATCGATGATGAAGATGTTGGCTTCCAAGGCAGGCATGTGTTAAGGTGGGACCAGGCACAAACAGCTCTCTGCATTGTTCAACTGCAGCATAGCCTTCGTGCCTTTTAAAAATAGCAGCGCTGTGTTTGAAATTTTCAGGAGAAGACTTGTAGAATGTGTGTATGACTGTCGGACATGCCCTCCTCTCTCTTCATTTTAAGGAGCTACAGATTTAGAACCTTTTGTTAGGGAGAGGGGAAGGAAAGTTCATGAACACACAGCCACACCCACGCACGCCCTGCTCCCAGCCCGGCCACCTCACTCCTCAGTGCCAGTCTCTCCACGCGCACCACCTAGACACAGTTGTTTAGTGAGAACGTGTCTTCTTTAAGCCACTAGAATTAACTCAGAGAATAATTTGTCTAAAAATACGTAGGCAGACTTGAACTCAGCCTTGTCGGTTGAGATCAGTTCAGGAAAACCACCCTGGGTCAGAGAGAAAAAGGGGAGGAGAGCGGAGGAGAGGGGAGGCTTTTTCCTAATGGGCCAGGCATGCTCTTCAAAGGCCAAATCTCGCCTATCCAAGCCAGCTCCAAGTCACGTTCTTGGATGGGGACGGGAGGGACGATGCTGGCTGCTGAGTGGGTAAACCCCCACCCCCGCTTTTTCCACAGGCCCGACTCGGCTCAGGGGTGTGGACTCAGAGTGAAAGAGAACCCCAGGCACACCGACCCTTGTTAGGGAAACTAGTGGCACTTGGAAGTGACAGCTGGGATAGCTGGAATTGTTGTGAGAATTCCAAGAGGGCCAGACGCTTCTCCGGGAGACTGCGAGTTGAGATGGGAATGAGTGTTCCATCTAGGGAAAGAAAAATGTTTAAAGAACCCTGTCATTCCCAACCATTAGCTCCAAGTTCCAAACTGAAAAAAAATGGTGTTTGCCTTGGAGAAAGTAGAAGCTTAACTTCAAACACTCGGCATCAGGGAGGTGGTTGGCATCACTCTTCCAGCAGCCCCAGGACTTTTCACAAATCAAGCGATTGCTACTGGCATCACCACAGCTGCTGTCGGGAGCAGCTCTCTGGCCCTGGCTGCTCCAAAAGAACACTGTCTTCTGCTATGGCTCCGTCTAGCAAACAGGCCTTTTACCGAGGCTAAGGGCCCATTCCTGTATCTGTTCTGCTGATAGTTGTGCCAGTTTCTTCCCCTTCCTCGCTACTATTCTCTGCTTCCTGCTGCTTTCTCCCTTCTGCCTTCTAAGCAGAGTCCGTCATCAAGTGCCGACTGTACACTGGGTATGGGGTTAGGGACTGTGCATACTCTTTCTTATTCTATCATAAAAATCACCCTTAGGAAGGATGGGAATTAGCATCAGTTTACAGAGGAATAAATGTGGGCACAGAGGAATTGCCTACCTTGACTGAGGTTGCACGGCTAATTATGTCAAGGCCAAGACTGGAGCCTTGTGTAGTCTGTCCCACTCTCAGCACTTCTCCAGGCCCGTGCCACTTCCCGCAGCCTCCCCAGGCGTATCCATGGCATTAGGACCTTGCAGAGTTGGCTTTAGCAGAGCCTCTGTCCTGTAGTGGCCTCTTGTGAGTCCCAGGCAAGACTCTGCTCCAAGATCTCAAACTCTTTTCTGGATTTTCAAGCCATTATCCTGCTCCTCCCCCAGGGCTTAGGACTCCACCCCAGGCCTAGGTCCCTGCTTTCCTGGGTACTTGGCAGTCATTGCCACCACAAACTGCAAGCTTTTGATACATTGAAAAATAACTCCTCGGACAGAAAGGTTAGGACCCAAACTCAGTCACAAAGGTAAAAGTAGCCCAGAGAGAAGGAGATGGCAACTCCTAAGATCAGATACAAAGTTGACTCTTCAAGTACATTAAAAAATTTCAGCAGATGCCCTGGATGCTGTGGCTCAGTGGATTGAGTGCTGGCCTGTGAAGCAAGGGGTCACTGGTTCGATTTCTAGTGCACATGCCTGGGTTGCAGGCCAGGTCCCCCAG